TAATGTTTTCTTTTTTAGCGTTTGTACACTGAAGCATGGAACAAAGACAAGACCACGATTCATGTCATGCCTGACACCCCAGAAATCCTGCTGGCCAAACAAAACAGAGTGAACTACAGTGAGGTGAGTGCAACTGGAGAGCTGAGATAGTTAAAGGGTTTCTGATAAGTACATAATTGCAACCTTTGATTTTTTTTATTAATGGTAAAATATTGTCAGGTTGTTTATTTTCCTACATAGCCAGTTCCAGTGCTGAAATCAGGGTTGGTCTTCCACACAAATATACTTATTTTAAAATATATTATCCCCCATAAATGAGAAATTGAAATTATTTCTACAGTAAGTTCTGGAAATAGGTAATTTCATTTTTTAGATTTTCCAGTCTTTGCCTTCCCTAGCCATTTTCCAAACATCTGCAATAAAATTGCAATATCTTTGAAATCTGTTTTTTTATTTTCTTTTCTAGAGAGCCATATTTAAATTATCTGAAGATATACAATATAGTTTAGGGACTTAATTTGTTTTACTGCACAGTTGTGCTGAACTGAAATGCAATTTTGACTTTTGTGTTTTGAAACTAAGATGTGACTCTTTCTCACAGAAAATGTACAAACTGGCCTTGGAGGAGTCAAAGAAGAAGGGTTATGATTTGCGTTTTGATGCCATTCCCATTCAATCTGCCAAAGCCTCCAGGGAGATTGCCAGCGAGGTGAGCAGGCTTTGTTCTCATGTCCCTGTGGATCTGGTAATGGAAAAGAATCAGAATCGTTGTTCTCTTGTTTACTAATGTCACATTTTACAAAATAGATAATACAGAAATCTGTTTTCATAGTGGTTTTACCACATGGCTTAAGTGCACAAAAAAATGGATAGCCAGTATTTTTTGTATGAGTTATGTCTCACAGTAATGAATAAATATAATAACATGAAGATTATTTATATGCCCCCCATTGCTATCCATGGATGTTTGTGTAGGATGAACAAAAAGATATAAGAGTCTATGCTACGGTTTGTCAAGGTAATTTCTGATTCAAAATTGGAAGTACTTTAAAATTTGTCCCCAAAAGGGATATGTAAGTAAATATATTCTTAAAGTTTAAATGCATGTACTTTCTGGAAGAAAGAAATAATTCTGTTTCAGTGTCACATTGAAATTCAAAACATTGGACTACAAAAACAGGGAAAAAAACTCTGTAATGTCTGGGACAGGTTTTAGGCAATATCACTAAGAGAGAGATGGTAACAGATTTTTATGCTCCTTGTTTTTCTATAAAGAAATCTATTTAAATGCTTTGTGTTAAAAAAGGATAAAATATATAAATATATACATGGATTTATTTTTCCTGCAGTACAAGTACAAGGAAGGATATCGAAAGCAGCTGGGCCACCACATCGGGGCCCGGAACATCGAGGATGACCCCAAGATGATGTGGTCGATGCACGTGGCCAAGATCCAGAGTGACAGGGAGTACAAGAAGGACTTTGAGAAGTCCAAGACAAGGTTCAGCAGCCCTGTGGACATGCTGGGAATTGTGTTGGCCAAGAAGTGCCAGCAGCTGGTGAGCGACGCCGACTACCGGCACTACCTGCACCAGTGGATCTGTCTGCCCGACCAGAACGACGTGATCCATGCCAAGGAAGCCTACGACCTCCAGAGTGATGTGAGCAAACCCTTAAATTTGTAACACAGTATTTCTGTAGTACTGTAATTCTGTAATTCTGTAAAACAGAATTGTCTTTCACAACTAATTTTTAAAATATGGATAATAAGCCTCTAGTCGCTTGCATCAGACTTGTTGAAATGTTTTTCATTCTTTCATTCTTTCAATTCTTTCATCAAATAGGTGTTTAATTCTATTTTTTCAGTCCTTAACCTGAGGTATAATTTTTGTGTTACTCTGATACTAGCATTGTGCTCCAATACCTCTGTTATTTCTCTTATTTAATAATTATTTTACTTAATCTTCAAAAGTAACAGTTGTTTTCAGAACCATATCCTCAGAAACATACCGAGTTGTTCATATTGTATGTGCTTGTTTATATTAATTTAATATTTGATCACACTTGCCCATATATAACAAATTTTCACATTTTTTCAGGCTGTTTACAAATCAGACCTGGAATGGCTGAGAGGCATTGGATGGGTTCCTATTTAATTTTTTCTTCTTGTACCAGAACTGCTACAAATCTGACCTGGAATGGCTGCGGGGCATTGGCTGGGTCCCAATTGGTTCCTTGGAAGTTGAGAAAGCCAAGAAAGCTGGAGAAATCCTCAGTGACAGGAAGTATCGTCAGCCTGCAGACAAAATCAAATTTACCAGTGTGACCGATTCCTTAGCCATGGTCTTAGCCAAGCAAAACGCTGAGATCATGAACAAGGTGAGGGTGGTATTGCCAGTTAATAGAACTTGTTCATGAGGTGAAAAATTCAAAATGCAAACTAAACCCAAAAACTTGTGGATTTAAGAGAAAGTCAATGTCCAAATTCAGCCATTGTACAGGAAAGCTGTTCTCTCAGGGCTCAGTCTGAAGTGAGCAGTTGGCAAAAATCTACAGACCTTTAACTCACATATTTTGTCCTTTAATTTACATATTTTCCAAGAGTCATACTGCATGATGAATAAGTGATGAGGAAATACTTGAAGTTCTCTGGGTGTGAAACTTTTGCAACTTATCCAAGATCTGGAGGGTCAAAGTCACTCCTCCTTTATAACAAACATAATCAAACAACTTATACAGAATAATTAATACACTTTTCCTCCTATGACTGTTTCTCCGCAATCCAAGAACTATCAATTGTTGCACCAGCTTAATCTGAGACATAATGAGGAGGGACAAAGTTTTCCTTCTTGAGCTGTTCAGAGAGAAACTTTGCTGTGTCAGGGTATTAGAGCTTACTGGAACTATCCCTAGCAGTTTGTAAAATAATTGTAATTGTAAAATAATTTAATAAAGAACGGTTTGTAAAGGGCTGTTCTCCTCTCTCGCAGCGCTTGTACACGGAAGCCTGGGATGCAGACAAGAAGTCCATCCATGTCATGCCTGACACACCAGACATTCTGTTAGCAAAGGCCAATGCAGCCAACGTTAGCAATGTAAGGACATTTAAATATTTACTGAACTAGTGGAAATTTAGAGTTAAGTCAGCATTTCTTTAATCATAAAGATGTTCTCAAACACGCATTCATGAACATTTTGAGAGACAATTATGAAATGTAGAAATCCCATCTTGCAGAATATTGATAAGCCATTTTCTGTCTTCTTTTGTGTAGAAACTTTATGTCCAAGCCTGGGAAGAGGCCAAAAAGAAGGGTTATGACATGAGAGCTGATGCAATTCCAATCAAAACCGCAAAAGCGTCAAGAGACATTGCCAGTGACGTATGTTCTTCCTTTACACTTATTTTCAGTTACCTTCAAAACAAGAATATGTATTTTTGTTATCAGTAGCAATAGGAAATGATAGGACCTTCATCCCAGATTCACTTATTTTTGTATTTCCAGTACAAGTACAAAGAAACCCACGAGAAGGAGAAAGGCCACTACATCGGGTGCCCCAGTGCCAAGGACGACCCCAAGCTGGCGTTGGCCGCGCGCGCCATGGCCCTGCAGAACGACCGCCTCTACAAGAAGGCCTACAACGATTCCAAGACCCAGATCCACATCCCTGTGGATGCCCTGTCGGTGCAGGCAGCCAAGGAGTGCCAGACCCTGGTCAGTGACATTGACTACAGGCAGTACCTGCACCAGTGGACCTGCCTTCCTGACCAGAACGACGTGATCCACGCACGGCAGGCCTACGACCTCCAGAGCGACGTGAGTGACAATCACTGTAGGAAAGCTTTAGGGCAGCTGTGTGAGGCTCTGTTTGTTAGTGACTGGCAAATATACTTTCAAATGCATGTTCGTGGACCTGTGGTCTGTCCTGGTATGTTTATTTTATCCTTTCTGAAGGATTTCAGCCTGGTTGCCAGAAATATTTGGGGCAGTTCATAAGGAAGCCATGTTTCCTTAGTCTTGGAATGTTTGCCTTCAGACTACTTGCAGCTTATGCCCCTGGTTTGAATGCAGTGTATTGGAAGTATCATTGTTTTGTGCAAAGCAGGGGTGCTGTGTCTAGAAAGGATCTGATACAACAGAGCATCACTGCCTGCTTGTTGTGTAAGGACTGTGTGAATAAGTTGGGGAAAGGCTTATGAAAAACTTTCTTGCACTTAGAGTTAGAGCTGCAGAATCCCAAAATGGTTTGGGTTGTAAAAGATAATCTTATTCCAACACCCTGCCATGGACAAGGGACACCTTCTAGTAGACCTCGTTATTCAGAGCCTCATCCAGACTAGTCTTGAACATCTCCAGGAACTGAGAGTCCACCAGCCCTCTGAGCTATGCATTACCTCTGCCATGCCAATAACCCTTGGTTTGTTTGTAGAACGTGTACAAATCTGACCTGGAATGGCTGCGAGGCATTGGCTGGCTGACAGAAGGGTCTGTGGATGTGGTCAAAGCCAAGAAGGCCCAGGAGCTCCTCAGCGACCGCCTGTACCGCACGCGGCCGGAGCAGCTGAAGTTCACCAGCATCACTGACTCCCCAGACGTTGTCCTGGCCAAGACCAACGCCATGCAGCTCAGTGATGTAAGCTCCCCTTTCACATTTCACTTCTTTCTGGCGGAGAGTAGAATTTCTGCAGTGGGAATGGCGAGTTGGGAAGTTTGGCAAATTGGAATTACTGAAGAATTCCTCTCGGTGTTTTGTTCTCACCACACTGAATTGCCACTGTTCTTCCTTTCTCCTCAGCGTCTGTATCGTGAGGCCTGGGATAAAGACAAGACCCAGATTTCCCTCCCTTCAGACACTCCTGTCATGCTGCAGTCCAAAGTGAATGCTCTCAACATCAGCAATGTAAGAGAATAACATGAAATATTTGTGAAATGTTAGAAAATGAAAGCTGGCAATTGTTCTTCCAGCTTTTGCTGTAAATGGTGGTGCACAAACTCACCTTCTGAAATGTGCTTGTGTACAGAAAATCACATCCAGAGGCATTTTATCACCTCTCAGCCTATCAACAGGTTGTGTGTTCATGAACAAACTCCCAAGCTCAATGTGCAGTTCCACACAGCTGCTCCCTTTGGCAGAACCTGCCAAATACATTCCATAGAGGAGTTGTTGGAGTCTGCAGACACAGTGGTCTGTCTTCACAAATACTTCTGCTGCCTCTCTGTGTTTTAATTTTGCACCTACTTTAAATCATGAGTTTTCTGTTGAGACGCTTGCCAGGATCATTATAGTAACTCTGCCAGTTTCAGGAAGCAAACAGGTCTCCCAAGCTGGTCATTCCAAGCAAGCAGGTTTTTAGGGAAGGCATTTCACTGTGTTTTACAAAGGTGATTAATTTTCTTTACAGAAACATTATCAGAAAGCCTGGGATGAGGCCAAGGCGAAAAGCTATGACATAAGAGCTGATGCCATTCCCATCAAACAAGCCAAGGCCTCCAGAGACATTGCCAGTGAGGTACAGCCTTCTCTTTGTGTGGTGCTTGTGTCTCAGCAGAACTGAGTGAAGCTCAGGCTGGCAGCTTGAGTCTGGTGGCTGTGTCCAGGTGAGCAACACACCTTCTGTTCTCTCTGCATTTCCAGTACAAGTACAAAGAGACCCACGAGAAGCAGAAAGGCCACTACATCGGGTGCCCCAGTGCCAAGGACGACCCCAAGCTGGCGTTGGCCGCGCGCGCCATGGCCCTGCAGAACGACCGCCTCTACAAGAAGGCCTACAACGATTCCAAGACCCAGATCCACATCCCTGTGGATGCCCTGTCGGTGCAGGCAGCCAAGGAGTGCCAGACCCTGGTCAGTGACATTGACTACAGGCAGTACCTGCACCAGTGGACCTGCCTTCCTGACCAGAACGACGTGATCCACGCACGGCAGGCCTACGACCTCCAGAGCGACGTGAGTACCCATAGAGATGTGTAGTTTTATTATTTCATAGATTATAGCCTTATTCTAATTGTTCAATACTATACAGTCACAACAGATTTATGTCTAGACCGTTTTCTTCAATTTTTTCTTACTGCTATTTTGTGCTCTTTTACACCCTTAAAAAGCATTGGTTTTATCTCTAAATTTTGTAAAACTTGATAATATGTTGCATAATGCTTTTGGACAGGTGTGATTTGGAGAGGCTGAAAGATTTGCCTTTCTTGCTTTGATGTGACTTAGGAATAGGAGCTGTTTGCTGCCTTGGAATCAGGTGGCTTTTGTTACCTGTGTTTGCTTGAGTCAGCTTGGAAAGTTATTGAATTGGAAGAAAACTCTGTGAGGTGGCCAGTGAGAGGTTTTAGTGGCTGAATGCAAAGCAGGAGTCAGTGCAGCTAATTTCCTGACCTGGCTTTGCTGCTCATCAGTTCCTCTTCCACTGTTTCAATTACAAGCTTTGGAAATGAGGTTCCTGTTCCTTCCTGTTTGTCACTTTTCCTGGTAGGCAGCTTGGGGTTTTGTTAGGACTTGTAAATGTTGAAATAACTAGAGGATTAGGTATTTTAGGAGGGACAGGAAGACTCTTGTAAGCTTTTATTATTAATCATCTTTAACTGCAACTCTTTCCAGTTGTTTCTCATTACAAGGTTGTGCAAGAACTGAACTACTTAAAACCTTGTTGCCAGATTTAATTTTACTTATGACACTGAGCATCTCCTGTCTATAAAAAGGATTCATCTGACTCTAGCTAAGTTTATATAACATAATCTGCTTTGCATAGCTTAAAATTATTAAGTCAGTTATTTTAAACAATATTTTCCTTTTCTGACCATCTCTCCCAGGCTGTATACAGGTCAGACCTAGAGTGGCTCCGTGGAATTGGGTGGTTGCCCAATGACTCTCCAGAAATTAAGAGGGTGAAGAATGCCCAGGATCTCCTGAGTGACAACGTGTATCGGACCCCCATTGACAGTGTGAAGTACACCAGTGTTGTGGATTCCCCAGATGTTGTTCTGGCCAAAATCAACGCTGAACAGATCAGCATTGTACGTTCCAACCTCCTCAAAGCTGCTTCCACACTAGAAACTAAAGCTAAAAGAAATCTCACTGCTAAAATATAAAACTGATCCGTGGTGTTTTAAATTTAATGCTTTTCCAAACATTTTGCTCTTTAGAGATGTTAGTTCAAGAGAGATTTTTGCGATTTTATGTTATTGATATGTGAAAATCTATAAGTCTGATAATATTATTAAATGACTGTTTTGACAGCCAAAATATAAAGAAGCCTGGGAAAAAGACAAGACTATGATTCACATCATGCCAGACACCCCTGAAATCAGCCTAGCCAAGGCTAATGCTGTTAATTACAGCCAGGTATGTTTATCATTCTGTTTTCTCTAAAATAGTATGTAGATGATATCATTCTAAGATGTTGAATCTCTTTGAATCTCATTGAAGTCTGTCTTCATACAGGGCTTGTGACATTCCATTCCCTCTACTGAATATCCTTAAAGTATTCACCCATTTTAAAACAAATCATTGCATTCAGCTATTTAAAAATTATTAATATCATGCCGCACTGAGGGAATATTTTATTGAAATGGATGAGAATCCAAGGCATATAAGTATTTTATACACTTTCACAAACACCCTTCTGTGCTTTATAGGTTGCACAACATACAAAGTGTTGCATGCAACCATGAGTCCAAGATCTATCCATTGCTGCACCAGCTTAACCTGAGAAATAATGAGGAGGGACAAAGTTTTCCTTCTTGAGCTATTCAGAGAGAAACTTTGCTGTGTCAGGGTATTAGAGCTTACTGGAACTACCCCTAGCAATTTGTAAAATAATTATAATTGTAAAATAATTTCATAAAGAACTGTTTGTAAAGGGCTGTTTTCCTCTCTTGTTGCATGTTTCAGAGGCAACTGCATTTATGGCTAGGAGCAGGAATAAAGCTCAAAAAATTTCATGGTGTTTCAGCAAACAAATGGTTGGAAACTCTGCTTCTATAATGGCAAATACCAGAGCATTCAGCATGTGTGTGACATTTTATCTGTCTTTTCAGAAACAATATAAAGGAGCTTGGGATGAGCTGAAGATGAGCTACGATTTGAGAGCAGATGCAATTCCAATCAAGACAGCCAAGGCTTCTAGAGAGATTGCCAGTGATGTAAGTGCCAAAAGAGGCATCTCCCATGCTCCAAGAGCTCTTTCATGCTAGCTGCTACTGATGGTGCCCTCTGCTCTTCCCCCAGTACAAATACAAGCTGGAACATGAGAAGCAGAAAGGACACTACGTGGGAGTGCCGAACGCAAAGGGAGATTCCAAAATCCAGTTTGCCCTGGATGTAGCCAAAGTTCAGAGCGAACGAGAGTACAAGAAGCACTTTGCCAAGCAGAAGACCCAGTGCCACCTGCCAGTGGACATGATGTCCATCGTGGCAGCCAAGCATGGGCAGGCTCTGGTGAGCGACGCCGACTACCGGCACTACCTGCACCAGTGGATCTGCCTCCCCGACCAGAATGATGTCATTCATGCCAGGCAAGCCTACGACCTCCAGAGTGATGTAAGTTCACCTGAAAACACCCCTTAAAGTTGTCCTGTATTGCCTCTTCTCACTCTGCTTCAGCTCTAAGGAGCGGCAATCTGTTCCTGAATTCAGGGAACTCACCTTGCTCTTTGTTAGACTTGCCAAGTGTAGGCCACTTATAAATTGCCGTGGTTGGAGGGTGATAAATTCAGATGTAGTGCTCATGTTGGAACTACTGCTCCCCTTTTAACCACTGGATTAAATGCTGGTTTTTATGAATCTTCCTGGATTGTCCAGGGAAGTGTAGGTAAGAGACTGGACCCTCTTTTGTTTTCCCAGGCTGTTTACAAAGCTGATTTGGAATGGCTGCGGGGAATCGGATGGCTGCCAAATGATTCCCTTGGAGTCAAGCATGTCAAATATGCTGGAGATCTCCTGAGTGAGGTAACCAAATGTTTTTCAATACTAAAATTTTCTTCAGGGGTATTTGTCACTCAAAGTATTTTAAATGGTTTAAACAATGAGGTTTTTTTTTCAAATGAAAAATGCAACTGCAGTATTTTCACAAGATTTATTTTCTATGCAGAGGTTTTTCTCCATGAGAATTTCCTTGTCTTATGTATCTATTCAGAATTGCTGTATTAGACATCAAATATTCCAGGTTACTCTGTTCTTCTCTTTCTTGTACAGAGGAAATACCGCACGAAAGCTGAAACTCTCCCGTTCACTGCTGTGGCTGACAGAGTTGATTATGTCACAGCAAAGAATAGCACTGAAATCCTCAGTGATGTAAGTTTGCTCTCAGTGTCTGGGCTACATTTGACTTCCGTGATTCTGTATTTAATGTGCTTTGTCTACTAGCCTTGCCAATTCAGGGGCTGATTTGTTATTTTGTGTGTAAATTATGGTGATTTTCCCAGTGGTGCTACAAGGCAGAAATTTCTTTCTGTGTTCCAGATTAAATACCACAAAGAATGGAATGAGGCCAAGACAAATTATACTCTCACAGATACACCACAGCTGGATATGGCCCGAGAGGCAGCCAGAATTCTAAATCAGGTGCGTGGTCTCTCCTTGACAGCTTCTACTCCCATTTTTGAGGTATTTAGAAAACCTGCCTTACTGGTAACAACCTGAAGGAAGGATTCGTTATCCTTATACTTCTGTATAAATTACATACATACAGTAATTGTTATCATTGTAATAGTGTTGAATTCCTCATCACTTTTTATTTCCCACAGAATTTGTACAAGGAAAGTTGGGAGAAAGAAAAAGCCACTGGTTACCTCCTGCCTCCTGACACGGTGCAGATCACTCATGCCAAGCACTCGAGTGATGTCCAAAGTGAGGTAATGATTCTTCTCATTAGGAAGACGAGTGCTTGGAAGACTGAAATTTTATAGGCCTTGAAAGTTCCCAAACAGACTTAAAAAGCTTTCCATCTGGGGTAACATCCAGACTTTTCATGGCCTATGAATTCCACTGTCCTCCAAAAAATTCAGCCATCTTTGTGATTATGGGGTTTGGCACTAGTAGTGCTGAAGGTCAGATTCCTTCCACATTCCCTCTCTCCAGAAAATCAACTGAGCTGGACTTCCATATTTTCTAAGTGTTAAATACTTGAAGTGATGCTATGATTATAACATATATGGCTCTGATTTCACTTTTTGGCCTATCAAAACCTGTAGTCCAGGACACACTTTGCATTTAAACATTTGCATAATGAATCTTGAAATAATGACATGACTCTTACTTGGAATAAACATTTTCTCAAAACAGTTTGACGTAAATACCAATAAGCATCCACTATTCAGACAATCTCAAATAATTTGCTGCCAAAAAGCGACTAAAAGCACTTGTTAGAAAACATTTTCTAGCAAGTCTTTCCTCTTGTGTTAACAATACCTTTTACTGAAAATGGGGAGTATATTAGACTAGAAAATGCTATATTTTGAACTGGAAGGCTTATACAATATAATTTTATTGTTTGGGACCAGATTTTTATCTGGTCATGTACTGAAAACCTAAGGCTGCATTTAACGACTTCCTGTCTCATCTGCTCTTTGTGTTGACAAAGCTGAAGCTGTTCCCAGGTTAAAACCAGAGTGGGTACAGCCAGAGCTGATTTTCTCTGTATTTCTCCCCTCTCCCACCAGCTGAAATACAAAGCTGAGTATGTCAAGCAGAGAGGTCACTACGTGGGAGTTGCCAAGATGAGGGACGACCCCAAGCTGGTGTGGTACGAGCACGCGGGCGAGATCCAGAACGACAGGCTGTACAAATCAAACTACAACAAAACCAAGTCCAAAATCCACATGCCTTCGGATGCCATGGCAGTTGTGGCAGCAAAGGAGTGCCAGAACTTGGTCAGTGATGTTGAGTATCGCCAGTACCTGCACCAGTGGACCTGCCACCCTGACCAGAACGACGTGATCCACGCACGGCAGGCCTACGACCTCCAGAGTGATGTGAGTGATGGTGCAGCCCTGAGAGGTCCTTTCCACATGGTCTGGCCTAAGGATATTGCCCACAGCACATCATCCATCCTGAGTCCAGTAATTTCTGTCCTTTTGCATTGTCTTTCTGGTTTAGAATGTCTACAAAGCTGATTTGGAGTGGCTCCGTGGCTGCGGTTGGATCCCTCTCGATTCAGTGGAGCATAAGAAGGTTAAGAATGCACAGGAGCTGATAAACAAGGTAAGAGAAAATATTTCAGCAGTTCCACAATTAGCACTTCTTTCTCATGCACAGTGTTTAAGACATTATTTCACCTCTTTGCAGAGAGCATACACAAAAGAAGCTATGGAGAACTTTTCCAAGTACACCACCGTGGTTGACACTCCTGAGATCACTTTGGCAAAGATGAACTCTGTCAATCAGAGTGATGTATGTACCTTTTTTTTAAAGTAAAACAATAATAGAGAAGAATTAGGAGATTATTTAATTGCTTTTGCTAACTTAGCCTTATATAGTTGTGTGTGCACCTCAATAATAAAAGGCTTTCCTGGGGTAAACAAGTTTAGTAAGAAGTAATAGGAATGAACAACACAATATTGCTGTCCAAATAATTTAACATTTTCCTTTGGAAGAATTTGGCATGTCCCTGACTTAGTGTTGACATAGATTTTTTTTTTACAGAAGACTGAGTCTTGTTCTTGAACAGTTCATGGAATTCCTGTTGTTGCTGAACTGTATTTACTGAGCAGTATCTTAAATTTTTCATTAATACCATGTGGATTTTGAGGTGGCACAGTAACATTTGCCTGTGTATTACAATGGTTGGAATGTCCTACAAAACATTATTGTATTATGAAACAAGAGATAAGAAATGTTTAATACTAATAGATGGACTAATGGGAAAAATGTATTTCTCCTGTGGAATTAACACTGTGCTTGATTTCTTTTGTAGCTAAAATACAAAGAAACATTTAACCAGGAGAAAGGCCAGTACATTGGGTCTGATGATACTCCTGCTCTGCACCACGCCAAAGATATGTCCTTGCTCCACAGTGAGGTGAGATTCCATAAATATCAACCTTTGAAATGAGGGGTGGACTTGAGGAACTGTTCTACTCTCAGTAGGGGCACGAGGGAGGTTATTTAATCCCTTTTTTCTTCAGCTTTCTCTTTAGATAATCCTGGAATCAGGATGATTTCTTTCCCTATTAAAGTGATCTCAGAGGACAGCTGTGTGGTGCTTGGAACTCACAATGGTGTGATAAAACCAAATATAATTCCAATCATTAATATCTTCTGAGACTACTGATACATTTTACATTTACTTTTTTATAATAAATGAAAACTGTAGTTGATTTACATAATTAAGCAGTTACTTTTGAGTAGTGTCACTGATTTTAATGAGAGACCTCTAATTTTTAATAGAAGTGATTACTCATTTTTGTGAGGAGGCACTTCTTAATTTAATCTGAAGGTGGATATATTTAATATTTAACAAAAAGGTATAGGAAAGTGCCATTGAAACTAATGTTTCTTTAATAAACACCAATATTTCAACAAGATTTTTCATAATTTTTGATAATCTATAAAATTATCAATCCCAATTTTATACTGCACTTTTAAACCAGAGCTCATATCTCTATTCTGGATATTTTTATTACCTTTCTGGTATAAATATAATAAAGAAAGCAGAAATCAGCTCGAATTTGTGCTCAGGTAACTTCCTGAAGTGAACACGTTTCCTGTTTGCCTTATTCTGAATGACTGTTCAAAGTGAACATTCTCCATTTAATTTATTGGGAACCATTCTGTAAAAATGTTCTGTATTCAATGTTATATCCCATGTGTGTATAAATGGGAATTTTTCATCAAAATCTGTATGTGCTTTGTTTGTCTAGAAACATTACAAGAAAGCCTGGGAGCTGAGCAAGCCCATTGGGTACACTCTGGATGAGAAATATGTTCCACTTGTGGGAGCCAAACATGCAAACCACATCAACAGTGAGGTCAGGAGGGATTTCCCATTCTTTGCCTTTTTCCCCCCAATATGTTGTTAAGAATGAACATTAAAATTTCCACATGAATATTTTTTCAGCTTAAATATAAGGAAATCTATGAGAAGCTGAAAGGCCATTACCTGGCTGGGAAGGATATTGGTGATTTCCCCAGTGTCACTCACTCCCTGGAATTCCAGAAAATGAGGAGCGCGGTAAGGAATGAACGAATCTGGAATATTTTCCATTTCCTTTATTTCACCATTTATTTCACTGATGAAATTCACTATTTCATTACTTAAACATAAATAGTGCAAAGTTTAATAGAACTGTAGAATCACAGGATCATCAAGGTTGGAAAAGACTTCAAAGATCAAGTCCAACCTTAATATAAATCTACAATAATATCAGTAACAATTATTTCAACATGCTTGTGTTCCCTGAATGCTTATTTTTGTATGTGAGTTGAATAATTGAATTTAAAATTATTTAGGAGAATGAGAAGGGATTTGTTTAGCTATTAGAATTACTACAGTAAGGAAAAAAACCCATTTTCTGTTTCAGTCTAAGGATCTGAGCAGTAAAAAATATCAAGTGGGATTCATTTCCTTTACAAATAAAGTATAAATTTTGAGTTGAAATAGGAATTTAAGAACTGGAAAAGTAAATGCACATTTGGTGTGTTGCTGTTGTCAGCACTGCTCATGCAGGGCACAAAATCAGTGTAATCCCAAATATTCTATTTTTAATTAGATGAAAACCATGTGTGGAGCATGAGGTTTTTAATCCTGAAAACTGGTTAGTTTTCTTATCAGCTATTAAAACTGCAAGTGAAGGTAATGGCTGTCCTTCCAGAACATTGTAAAAAGGTGATTAATATCCAAGTTAAGATTTCTATCATTTGAATCCCATGGGAGTTTAGCTACTAAATCCAGGAACCACATCTCAGACTATGCTGCAACCTTTTAGTCCAAAATCCAAAGTTATACAGAAAATCCCTTATTTCCTCTCACCTTTTCCCCAACCTTTGCTTTTCAGCTGGCTTACAGAAAGAACTATGAAGACACCAAGAAAAATGTCCACATCCCAGCTGACATGATGAACCACGTCCTGGCCAAGAAGTGCCAGTACATCCTCAGTGACCTGGAGTACCGCACGTACTTCCATCAGTGGAGCTGCTCCCCTGAGGAGAACGATGTGATTCACGCCAGGAAAGCCCAGGAGATCCTCAGTGATGTATGTTTGTCATTTATCAGAGCCATAGATTAGGCTGGCTTGGAAGGGACCCATCAAGGTCATCCAGCATCTTGGGGTCTGGGTGTCAGGATGAGCCCAGGAGTGTAAAAGTCCTCATTTCCCAGCCCGTGCAGCCAAAGGTGCAGGATCAGCTTCTCAAGGTTGTTTATTTTCCCTTTTCTAGAACATTCTTTCTCTGCCCTGCTGAGCTCTGGCCAGCAGCTCGGCCATGGTGTTCTGTCTGCCCTCAGGGTGGTGTTTACATTTTATACCAAAAACTACCTTGTACTATGGTTACAATAACATGCCAATATCTATCATCTATGTTAGACAGTGTGTCTCTCTACTTTAAACCAATAGAAAAGTGTCACCATCACAGCAAGACATGGAGGACAAGAAGAAGGAGAAGAAGGCTAGGACACGCCCAAATCCCTCCATCTTGTCCGCTTGAACCCCATTCTAAAAACCCCAAAATTCTACTTTTTCACCGTGTGTTAACTACCACACTACTCAAATCCTTGTGGCTTGTAATTCCTCACACAAAGTTGTCCGTTTTTCCCACAGGCTAAAATGGAAGCCACGGGTGTTTTTGACTTCGTGCCAAGGTCTCTGAGCCCCTGCCAGGGTTTGGACCCAGCCAGGGCAGCCAGAGGGATGTGCTGGACTCTGACACCAGCACACCCCCAAAATCCCACCAGGAGCCTGAGGGCATCATCAAAACCCTTCTAAACCTTACTGAACCCATTTGTTTGACATTATAGCAGCCTTTCCCATCATTTTCCCCCCAAGTATCTTTCATAATATTTAAATATTAAATTAAATTAATATTAAATGTAATATTAATGAAACACAAAAATCATAGTTGAATATTAAAATTATTATGAATTAATCAACTAATTAATATTAATCAATAGCCATGCCCTTGGATTCTTAGTACCAGTCACTGCAGTGATCCTTATCTATTGTAATTGGGAATGCTGGAATTAGCACAGGAGCCAGGACAGCATCCAGAATCCTTCTGGATCCAGTGGGTCTGGAAAAGAATTCCCCTTGTCTGTTGGGGCTTTATCAGCCCACAGGTGAGAGAATGGGGCTCATATTCTGCAGCCAGTGGTGTCCCAGGTTGGAGCAACCAACCTTCCCAATAAAATCTGAGGCTGTGTGAATTGCCTGCCTTAGTAGGATGCAGAATTCCTTGGTTTTATTGGCAGAAGGCAAATTTCTTCCTAACCTAATGTTCTGTTCACTTCCATGCAGTCTGTGTATAAAGATGACTTAAACTGGCTGAAGGGACTTGGATGTTACGTCTGGGATACTCCACAAATCCTACAGGCTAAGAAATCCTATGACCTGCAGAGCCAGGTAGGTTTTCCTTAAATAAATAAATATTTATGTGGGTTTTTTTCTTCCATTTGTGAGTCACTGGGTTGACATGTACTAGTCCAGAGCTGAATGAAGTAATTCCTGTTACATCAGAAATATTTTGTTTAAACTGTGAAGATACAGTCTTGGAGTTGCTTCTGGAGAAACATCACTTGTGTTATTGGTGGAGGAGAAAACTTAGGAGACTGTAAAGACAGCTGTGGTTTTTAATTTCATTATTCCTTAGTTCATACTGGCTGTATATTAAATATTTCTATTTTATGATCTGTCACTTTCAGAGTTGATCTTAACTGAGCTGTAATCTTTGATTTCAGCTGTGATTTTAAAGGGAGATTTCCAGGTAGTTTTCAGCACTAATGAGTGTTTTGTTGGTTTTGTGTCCTTAGATAAAATACACCTCTGCAGGGAAGGAGAACTTCCAGAACTTCAGTGTGGTTACAGACACCCCTGTCTATGTGACTGCTCTGCAAAGTGCTGCCAATGCCAGCGAGGTGAATCCCCACCTTTTCTGCTCAGGATTGTCCTTCTGAGCATTGAAACAATTCACTAAACCAAACTTTCGTCCTCCAGGTGAAGTACAAGGAGGAATTCCACAAAACTAAGGACAAGTACACAACTGTGACTGACACAGTGGATTCAGAAAGAGTTCAGAGTTTGAAACATCTCTATAGTGATGTAAGTGTTTATACACAATTATTTTTCTCTTAAGGACCTTTAATGTGGGATTTTTGTTTTATTTTCTTTGTTCATTGTTTGAAGATAAACATCCAAACCAGGAGCTTCTCAAAGCCAATGCTGAACTACTGCAGTTCTTGAGCTTGGGGGAGATTTTGTATTTCAGGCAAGGACCATATTTTCCACTTGTAATGCCAGTTCTGGCAAAACAAATGGATTAATAAATAGATTTCCTGAGTTAAATTACGCCTGAACAAAATTAAAACCTCATATGAGAACAGAGACATGAATTGTTAGAAAGGATTTTTATCACTCTTTACATGCACTTGATATTAATATCTTCTTTACAATACTTTGGTGTCTAAATAAAAGCAGAAGGGCTTTTGATTTCTGTTGGTTGTTGGTAATTATTTACAAGAATTATTTTTCCATTCACACAAACTTTCTATTTCCTCACAGAATCTCTACAAGAAGGCCTGGGATAAAGTGAAGGCCACCAGCTATGCACTGCCCTCAGATACTGTAGCCTTGGCACGTGCCAAAGAGCTGAAGCACAATGCAAGCATTGTAAGTGAATTAAATTCTTGGTTTTTTTAATCACTGCAGTGATGAAAAAATTCTAACAATTAAATCGTTCATGCCTTGCATCTGCTATTGATATAAATAACTTTTAAGCTTAATTTTCCTTCCCCTTTAAATTGAGATATAATATGTATCTGTAGATAATGATTTTTCTCTGATTGTCATTTGGTTAAGAGTCCTTTGTGGCTTCTTGTCATGGAAAAAAAATCATTATTTTTAGTAATCCAAACTGAAAATGTTATGTTTTTTCTAGTCTAAGTTTCATGAGCATCCAGGTCAGAAAAACACCAAAAATCTTTAAATTATGTTTACTAAGTATAGAAAACATCTTATGCTTTATGAAATTAGAATTAAGAGAGACCACTCCACAGATCTCTTTAAATTAAACAGCTGGAAGGATAAATGAGTGCCTTATTCTACATCTATTAATTTTTAAAACCCTCTAGTCAGGTGTTGTTTTACAACCTGCTTTCTTCTCCATTTAAGACAAAACAGAAAATTAAAATCCTGGTTTAAAATCTTTCTCTGCTTGTTGGACTCACCTTTTTTCTTAATGCTGATGAATTTTGTTCCAACCTCACAGCTGAGTCATTGGAGTCAGTCAATTGTTGCATTTCTTTGTTTGTGCTCAGGTCAAATACCGTGAGGAATATGACAAGTTCAAAGCCCTGTACACCCTCCCCAGAGGAGTTGAGGATGATCCCAATACAGAAAGGTGCCTCAGAGTTGGGAAGCTCAACATTGATGTAAGTGTTGGTTCTGGATGTGTGTTTTCCTGCTCATCTCAGAAGCAGCCACTCAAGGAATCCCCGTGCCTTGACCCAGACATCCCATTCCCACGTGCATTTGGCAGTGTGCAATATTTGCTAAATTCTAGACTACAACCATAATTTTAAGTTTTAATTCAATTACTTCGTTGCCTGCATGGCCAAACCTTTAGGGTAATATGGGCAAAATCATCATCTGCCTACTTTTAACTCATCAGCACAATGAAAAGTGAACAAATCAAATTTTACCTCCCTTGTTGAGGTTCTGCAAATTATTTCTAGAGTAGGCCAGATGTTAATTTTAGTCAGGATCAAAGTGATCTCTCTCCCACTGACATCCCATTAAAATAGCAATTATTTCCTCCAAATTTATCAACAATTTATTCTTCTGCTTTAACTCCACAGCGTCTGTACAAAGAAGCCTATGAGAAGACCAAAGCCAAGGTGCACATTGTCCCAGACATGGTGGACATCATCTCAGCCAAGGATGCCCAGAAGAAGGTCAGCGAGGTCGATTATCGCACGCGCCTCCACGAGTGGCTCTGTCTGCCAGACCTGCAGGTCAACACCCATGTGAGAAGAGTCACCGACCAAGTCAGTGATGTGAGTCCCCAACTCATTTGTTCCTGGCTCACTTTTGAGAATTTTCCTTCATTTGTGCTCTGTTGGAGGAAATTATTTAGCAAAAATGTCGCTGGAGCGCTCTGAAGTTGCCACTTGGCAATAAATGGGTCATTGAGATAGGGCTTTGATTTGAACTGAAACAGAAAATCCCAGAGTGGTTTGGGTTGGGAAGGACCTTAAAGCTCATCCAGTTCCACTTCCTGCCATGGAACACCTTCCAATATCCCAGGTTGCTCCAAGCCCTGTCCAACCTGGCCTTGGACACTTCCAGGGATGGTGAGTCCACAACCTCTGTGCAGCAGTTTCAATAATTCCAATGTTAATAGTGTAGGCATTTGGGTCATTGCAGTTCTACCCTGTCTTTAAATTGTCCTTTATTTGGTTGCATGTGGTGTGGCAACTTTGGAAGTCTGAGAAAATCCTGGTTGGGCAAAGCTTCAACACATTTGGCTTGAGCAGGTCAGCCCAGGAGTAGGGTCTGGCAGTAAATCAGAGCCCAGTAGGATGTGCTGGTGTTTTTTTTTTTTTTAATCATTGCATGTTTAATTTATTACCCAAATTGAAGAAAAATGAACAAAAATTATTTAAATTCTTGAAGGAATTGTTTTGATTTTCTCAAACAAACAAACAAAAACCAAATAAAAAAAAATCAAAGTAGTGGAAACATTCCTTGCCATCATTTGACAGCTGTGTTTTGGAGTGATTTAGAAATAAGGGATTAGGTCCTGGTGGAATCCTGACAGGTTCCTTCTCTGCTTCCTTAGGTTATCTACAAGGATGACCTGAACTGGCTGAAAGGCATTGGCTGCTTTGTCTGGGACACTCCTGAAATCCTCCATGCCAAGCAGGCCTATGACCTTCGCAGTGATGTGAGTGCATAACTCTGGGTTTGCTTCTTTTTCACTCCACTGTGGCTTTACTCCACTCCAGGTGTAGTCTGAAAAATCTTATTTATCCTTCTTGGTTGAAGGATTCATTAAGTAACAAGCCGTAGTTCCAATATACTTTCAGTTTTAATGCTGGTTCACTAATAAAATTGCTCAGTGATGAAATAGCGAGGATAGTAAATATGATAATACAATAAAATAAATTAACAATTACTAGCCCTAGTAATTAGAGCTCTTGCTTTCTCTCTGCAGATTAAGTACAAATCTAAGGCAGAAAAAATGAAGAAGGACTTCACTGTGGTCACGGACACTCCTGTCTATGTCCAGAATGTAATCAGTGCCTTGAATTTAAGTGAAGTAAGTGTTTCTCTCACCTTCCAGTCAGTATTCCAAATGCTGTTACCACACCAGCTTTAGAAATGGGACTTTTAATATGTTTTTAATAATTTAATTTTAATAATTTTTGGTTATCTACACCTCATTGTAGACACTAAATCACTAAAATCATTAATTTCCTGAAGCCAAAAAACTTTAATCCAGTTATTTAGGAACAATTCCCATTGTAGGCAAACAAAACACACTGTGAGAGAATGTGACAATTATGACTTTTTCTCTTTGCCAGGCTGTCTATCGTGGTGATTACAAGAAGAATGTCCAAGGCAAGATGATCCCCACTGATAAAACAGTGGATCTGGAGCGGGCATACAATGCAAACAAAATACAGAGTGAGGCAAGTACAAAACTTCAGGCTCCACAGAGTTTGTGACACTGAAAAACCAAATTGTCTGCTTTTAGCTTTTCAGGTGAAGCTGCATGTCACTGCTCTGTGGGAAAATATCCTCCTCTGAGCTATAAAAAAGCATTTTAATGTATTTTTCCCCCGGGCATGGGGAAAATCTTTTGCCAGTTGTGATGGAGAGACGTCCAGGATGGAGGGATGTTTCCCTCAAGCATTGCTGACAGTTGTACAGAGTCTTTCTCTCTGCTCTTGCAGAATTTGTATCGCTGGGCTGGTGTGAATGCTCTGCCCACTGGGTACAGCCTTCCCACGGACACTCCCAACTTCCAGCACGCCAAACACGTCCAGCACATCGGCAGTGATGTAAGTCAGGCTCTAAATCCTTCCAAATCATCCTTCTACACCATGGCAATGATCAGCAGCCCCACATAAGGGACTCTCAGCTTGGGCCTTTACTATCAAAATAGAAATTTCCTTAGCATTATGCAAATACCTTATTAGATGCAAAAAAAAAAAAAAAAAAGTATTATATTATTAATTTTGGGCTATATGGTAAAGGGAGAAATAATTATGGTGTGTGGTGTATTTAACTCTGATAAAGCCACATCTGAGTTGTTTTATCTCTAAAAATCTGTCTCTTTATACAGCATAAATTGTTGTCAGAGCTGCAGTGTAGCCAGAATCATAATCTAATTTAGTTTCTGTGTGCTTTTGTACTTCTTACAGCTGAAATATAAAGAAGCCTATGAACACATGAAAGCCAAGGGCTACACTCTGGGACCTAAAGATGTTGGCTTTGAAAATGTGAGGAAGGTCAATCAAGTCATTAACGAGGTACAGTAAATATATGGATTTACTTTCAATTGTATTTGCAGTGCCCAAGATATGTATAATGAGAGTACATTGACTGCTGAGCTGTAGGATCCCTCTTCTCTGAGGCTTTTTAAATTTATTTAGAGAAGTGTCCATCAAGAATGGTGAGGGATCATTGATCCAGGCTGAAACTGTTATTGTTATATAAAACTGCAGCCTGATTTTATTAGCTGTGATTAAAGTTGAATAGAAATTATTTCATCTGTATAAAATTGGGTCACAGTAGTTTTGGGTTTTATATATCTTTACTCACTTATTTGATCTTTAATAGCATGAAAATTAAATATATGTATTTACATGCTTTTAGGATTACAGAATAAGATTTCCAGAATTTATTAAAAAACAATTAATGGAAAATCTTTGCCTGGGTAGAAAACAGTAATTTGTGTAAGAAGTGCATGCGCTGTGCTGAACTTCTTTGCCATTTCAAGGTTTTGAGCTGTGTTAAAATGCAGAATGTTGTCTCTTGTGACAGAGGCTGTACAGGGCAACCTACCACAAGAACAAGGACAAGATTCACACCACCCCTGACACGCCTGAACTCCGCCAAGTCAGAGCCACCCAGGAGGCTGTCAGTGATGTAGGTGCCTTCCTAACAGAGCAGCTGAAGAAACTGAGATTATCCCCTGAGCAAACAGCTGAAATGCTGTTTTGTTCTTTGTTTTCCAGCTGATCTACAAGTCAGATTTCTTCAAGATGCAGGGCCACCTGATCTCCCTGCCCTACACCCCTCACGTGCTGCACTGTCGCTACGTCGGGGACATCACCAGTGATGTAAGCAGCTGCAGTGGGGTCAAAACCTCTCTGCTGGGAGTGGGGCTGGCTTTCTCTCACTTCCTTTCTGTTCTGTAACAAAAAAATGCTTTCTCACTGTGCCAGAGCTCACCCAAGGTCGAGGGTGGCTTCGTGTGGTGGAAAAGTCTCTCCTCCAACCCGTGCTTCCAGAGAAAGGCTCAGCAGCCTTTTGTAATTTGGTCTCAAGGGAGTTTATTGCAAGTTATCTAAAATATTTTCTTCTCTGGCTGCTGTGGTTTGCTCCCAGCTCAGGCAGAGGCACACACACACCCTGACATCCTCTCTGACCCCAACTGCTTCTTCTCTCCCCACCAGGGCTGCTGCTGTCTTTTATATGGTACATTACGTGTTACATGTTTACAGTTTTCCCCAATGCCTATTACCTATATTAAATGGTGATTTTCTATCTTTTATATGGTACATTACGTGTGACATGGTTACAGTTTTCCCAATGCCTATTACCTATATTAAATGGTGATTTTCTATCTTTTATATGGGACATTACGTGTTACATGTTTACAGCTTTTCCCAATGCCTATTACCTATATTAAATGGTGATTTTCTCTCTTTTATATGTACATTACGTGTTACATGTTTACAGTTTTTCCCCAATGCCTATTACCTATATTAAATGGTGATTTTCTCTCTTTTATATGTACATTACGTGTTACATGGTTACAGTTTTTCCCCAATGCCTATTACCTATATTAAATGGTGCTTTTCTACTCTAAACCAATCTGTGAGTGCCAACATCATCAAGAACATGGAGGTGAGGAAGGAGAAAGAGGGAGGACAGGGCAGGCCCAAATCCCAAATCCATCTTAAAACCTCTGACCCCATGTACAAAACCAAAACCCCCCTGTACAGCACTCAAAAATTCTTCCCTCTACTTTGTGACTACTTCTACTCTAATATCTAAACTTTTGTGACTTCTTGCTCTTCCTGCAAGGTTGGTAACTCATTCCATGGCTCAAACCCAAAATCACAGCTGTTTCCAGCTGTGCCAGGGTCTCAAATGCTTCTGACCTGGGCCTGGAACCTCCAAAAATGTCTGAGGGACATTTTGAGTTTCAACATCACTGCATTTAAGGACTGGAGATTGAAATGATCCCAAAAGTCAACTGTTGATTTTAATTTCTCTCGCAGAATAAATACAAAGAGGACCTGAGGTGGCTGAAGGGCTTGGGTTGCTTCCTGTATGACACCCCTGACATGGTCCGTGCCCGTGAGCTCCGCAAGCTCTGGGTAAGACTTTTCCCCTGGGAATTGAGTATGACAACAGTGGATTTATTTCTGTGCATGCAGGAAGTGAAACAGATGAAAATGAGCAAAGAATGAGAGAATTTTGTGCTGTGCAGCCAATTTGTTGTTTCAGAACACTGTTGGGTTGCACTGTAAAATTTCCTTTATTAATACTGCTTTTCCTTTGCAGTCCAATTATATCTACACAAGTACTGCCAAGAAAATGTGGCCTAAATTCCAGGTGGTGTTGGATACTCCTGGGTACAGAGCAGTGCAGGAACTAAAAACCCATCTGAGTGAGGTAAATTCTGTTATTTCTGCACAATTGTGCAGCTGTAATTAACCCCTCCCTGTAATTTTTACTGGACTAGATGAGATGTTATAATTGCAAAGCTGTGACTGTGCAGCTTCTAAACAATAGCAGAAGAAATAATTCCTGGACCTATCTTTTTCCAGCTGGTTTACAGAGCTGCAGGCAATGAGCTGAAGACAAAATACACTTCCATCCTTGATACACCTGACTTCATCAGAGCCAAGACAGGACAAAAAATACAGAGCCAGGTGAAGAAATTGTGCTGATATAAAAATCAATCAATGGGTCCTTCTTAATATGTTATTAAAGTACAGCAAAAGCATTCCAGGCCTTTTCCAAGCAATGTAGGAATCCTAGAAATTGGTGGTTTTGTTTGTATTGTGAATTTACAGCTGCTTTTCAGAGTCATAAGGTAGAATTTAGTAGAAGTGTGGCTTTTCCTTGATTATTTTCTTCTTGCTGCAGTACTTGTACGTGGAGCTTGCCACAAAGGAGAGACCCCACCATCATGCTGATGGTCAGACTCAAGCCTTTGCACATGCCAGGAATGTCAAGGACATGATCAGTGAGGTAAAATCTTCTTTTCTAATTTGCTGCCACTGGGCTGAACTCTTCAGAACTTTTATTTCTAATTGTAGTGATAATTTCAAGGCTCAAATCTGTTTAGCCTTCATTAATTTTTCTCTCTCTTATACTTAAATTCCACATTTCCTTTGTAAGTTCTGGTGAAATAAATCATTCTGAAAATGTGTTTTAGCTTTTTTTTTTTTTTGCACGTTGGCAAATGCTTCTAAAATTACAATGATGATTTTTCCTTCTTGCTGCCTCTCTCAGAAAAAGTACAAAACCCAGTATGAGAAGATGAAGCACAAATACACCCCTGTCCCTGACACCCCAGTGCTGATCAGAGCCAAGAGAGCCTACCTGAATGCCAGTGATGTGAGTACTCCAGCAACACCCCTGCTGCTTTTCCTTGCATGAAAAGAATAGGAAAAGTCAGTGAGGAACAAGCATGCAAAGCACAGAATAGCTCAGTGTCCCCCATCAGGGAAATCTCCTTATTTACATGTCCATTTCCATTTGAAATTAGGAACATGATTAAGTTTTGATTGGATTCTACTGCAATGCCTTTTTTTTTTTTTCTCTTCCAATTTTTAGAATTAATTTTTATTTCCCATTGCACTGAAGTGTGGCCATACAGCAAAGTAAAAACAGAATTAAAATAATTTGCTTACTCATCAAGTCTCCAAAGAGAGCAGACTAGAGTGAAGTGATTGATGCTGGGGCCAGGATAAAATAACTTTTATCAGTTTTTTCATCTCAGTTTTGTGCTAGAAGTAAACTGGCCTGTCACTGGGAATGTGTTCATTTTTCAAATTCAGAAGTAGATTAGAGAGAAAAATTACCAGAGCTGCTGCACAGGAGGTTGTTAAGGTGAAATTGATTTTTTTCAAGCGTGGAATAGTTATTTGTGATTTGAGGCAATTTAAAAATGCTCATTTGTGAGAGCTTTTCCATATATTTCAGAAGCAGCAGGATGTGAAGGGATATGTGCAGGGTTGGTGCTTTGTTCTAAGGTTTATTTAGTCTTACTGCTCTAAGAGTGATTTTTAAATACTGCCAAGGAGCATCCCAGCTCTTCTGCACATGGGAACTTCTCCTCTGGGATGATCTTCCTGCTTTCTTCTAGAGGAGGGCAGGGAAGATTTTTCTGCCAGAAGTGGTCCCTGTGCTACTCTAGAGAGCACTCCTAGGATGCAGGGATGTTTTTTCCTCACTCTGAAAGGGAATTGGGTGAAATTCTCTGTAATTTTCACCACAAGTCTCAGTGAAATTACAACTGGTTGTAGGCAGCCTCCTAAAATTCTTCAGGGCTTGGGGAATCAGACAGCAGCATATCCCTGGGTATGTTGGGGTGTCAGACAGCAACATATCCCTGGGCATCATTCCTGAGAAGTGAGAAATGTAACTGGAACAGCTCCTGGCACATTAATCCCTTCTTTTGTGGCTTTTTTTTTCCCTCCCAGCTGCGCTACAAAGAAACCTTTGAGAACACCAAGGGCAAATACCACACCGTGAAGGATGCTCTGGACATCGTGTACCACAGGAAGGTCACTGATGACATCAGCAGTGTATGTACAGCATCTTCATTCCTAATTAGTGTTTGACACTCAGTAACCTCTAATAGGCCACTTAGCCTTTTGTTCCATTTCATTATGTCAAATAATTGGGAAAAAAATCAGCATTGTCAGTGTTGATTTCTCTCTTTCTCTGGAATATTGATTGCTGTTGGCGTTACAAGTTAATCTCATTTCTACTCTTTTAGTTCTGCTGTTTCAGGGGTGGAAAAATGGAACTTTTGTGTTGTCTGGAGTGTTCTCTTTGATTGTTCTACTTAATTCTTCAACTGTCTCCATAGGTGAAGTATAAGGAGAATTACATGAGCCAGCTGGGAATCTGGAGATCCATCCCAGACCGGCCCGAGCACTTCCACCACCGCCTGGTCACGGATGCCATCAGTGATGTGAGTCCCAGCAGCTCCTGCATGGCCCCCAGGGAAAGGTCCAAGTGCTCTCCAAGTGAGCCCAAACATTCCTTCCCAACCAAGGGAAAGCAGCTGAAGTTTTTCAGTGATTTACAATTTGCCCTGGGAACTGACACAATCTGATGGCTAAAGCTGCAGCACACCCTCCCTTGTCAAATTAGTTTAAATTAATTTACATTAATTTAAATTAATTTCAGTTGTATCTGCTTAGATTTGTTTAGCCCTGTGACAACCTTTAATTGTACATTTCTGTACATACACAATAACCCCTTACCTGTACAATCTTTTAAATTCACACAGAAACTGCAGCAGCTAATGACAGATTGTGTGTGGGAATAAACTGAGTCCATCACAAAAATAGGAGAAACTAATTTATTTTATAATGGATGTAACTCTCTTTGCCACACCTGGTGCTGGGCTTTATTTCAGCACGGATTATCTGCTTAAAACTGAGTCTTTTTACTTCTTTTCTAAAGGTTAAATACAAGGAAGACCTGGAATGGCTCAAAGGCACTGGTTGCTATGTGTGGGATACTCCAAGTTTTGTCCTGGCAGAGCAGAATAAAGTGCTCTACAGTGGGGTGAGTGACACACCCTGAATTGTTGCAGAATGTTTTTGGATATTTGCTGTCCATTTACAGCAATTTGTTGTTGGTAGAAAAGTTAACTCACAAATGCAATAATTCCACCATTTTTGGCCACAATTTCTCTCTAAAATCACATTTTCATTGCCTTACCTTTCTTTGGACTAACATGGGTTGGGTTTTGCGTATTTAATTTTCTTTGGCTGCAGTGCAAGTACAAGGAGAATTTTGAGAAGACCAAGTCCAAGTTCAAGTACGTGGCTGACTCTCCAATCAATGAACATTTTAAATATGCAACTCAGCTGATGGATGGGGTAAGTAAAGATTTCTGTAGGCTCAGCCTTAAGGGGTTGGACTGTGAGTAAATACAGAGTTGAAGTAAAACTTCCTTAATTTCCTTAAAATCAGGCTTAAAGATGCTTTAAGATCAAACTAAAGTAATGAAAGACAAGTGGTTTTTTTGGTTTTTTTTTTTCTCTGAGTATTAGGACAGAGCAAGTTTGCAGAGTCTAGAAAGTGAAATCCCCCCCCACGTTCATTAATTTTTCATGGCAAAGGAACTTTTCCTTTGCTGACTTAAATAATGCTGCTGGTACAGTGACCCTGAGGGTTGGTTTCCATCTCAAAAAGGTGTGGACAGAATTCCAATTGCTTTCTTAAAACATTGATAAAATCTTTATTGGTGTTAGGAAGACAGAGTTATGTCTGAAGTTTCCACAGCTCCTTTAATGTCAGTGACTTTGCCTGGAATTTTTCCACTCCACAACTCAGCTTTTTCTTATTTTCCTCCTGTAGTTCTAAAGAAACAATTGACACAACCTAATAATTAATGAACACCCCTGGGTTTAAAATTCAAATCTCTCCTGGAGTTTGTTGGATTAGTGCTTTACACCCCAGGACAGATTCCATAGAAAACATCACGTTCAGGGTGATTCAAAATCTGATGCTTTTCAAGTAAAGAAACAGATATTTAGATATTTATATCTTATATTTCATTCTTTTTCACCAGCCATTGTGTCGTATCATTACCTGCCACTAACTTTATTACTGTATTACCTGTTCTAGGTAAGAAAAGCTGTTTCACAACAAATACCTGAATTTTAATGAAGGTTGTTCAGTCTTGCTATTATTCATAGAGCAAATAAGGAAAAAAATTAATATCAGAAACATAAACACACAAAATTTTATCACTGGGAGCTCCATATATTGAAATACTTGCCTAAATATCTTCTGTTATATAAGTGATGTTTTTTTTAATAACATCTCATTGTGTTCTCTTTGGACTCAACTCAGGAATCTCCAACACAGAGTTGCTTCTGCAGTTACTTTTCATGGAGAAATTCAGTCATAAAATTGCTTATTGAAGGGGTGGAATAGAGACATCCTTAAGCTGTAGGCCTTCCAGAGGCAATGTAGAAATGCATTTATGACTTGGAAATATTCTTCCTCTTCTCTCTTTTTTTTTTTTTT